TACATTGCTCGATTGTTGCTCCCATCTGATGAAATAGTTGAAGACACAGGTTAGCTGTCTGCTCGGTCGTCTCTTTCGCTGCCAGCAACGGTAAACCGATAACTTTGATGTTAAATTGGTAGCTGTACATTTCGAAGCCATCAATTGACTGCGAGATTCTATCGCAAGTATCAGAAATTACATTTAGCCTTGAGCTTAAACGCTTCAGTTCTTTCGATGCGTACTTTTTAAACGCTTCAAAATCATCGCATTGAGCTGAAACAAACTCAACTGATCGTTCTTTGCCCACAGTGTCGCCGCCATGTTCGATGCCAGCATCATGATTGATTTCTTCACGTCGATGTCCAATTTCCTCAGTCAATTTATCCAGTTGCTTCTTGAGATCTTCAATTTCATTCCTTAACTGCTGATTTTCTTTTTTTAGTTGGTTTCCTTTACCAGCCATAATTAGGGAAACTTAATAGAATAAAATCACACAGAGCGAGAAATATGCGTCCGCTCAGCTCAGCGTCCGCTCGACCGTAGCCAGGCTCTAATCGGAAAATTTAGACCCAGGGACGTGGATCTAGGACTTCTGGATCCCACAGACTCAATTCAGAAGATTTTTTGTTTTTCCATTGTAAATTTAGCTGAAATTCTGATTGGCTTCGCTTTCGTTGCCATGGTAACGGAAGCGCAAAATACTAGAGACCTTTATTTATGTGGATTTTTTTGATAAAAACGTTCTTTGTTGGGTAAAAGAATATTATATCCTAAAAATAGATAAACGTAAGTGACCTTTAGGGGCATAAAAAAATTTTTACATTTCTTTTGGGAATTTTTGGATTTTTTGACCAGAATGCTCCCTTAAATTGTGAATTCTGACACCTTTTGTTATTTTGGTAAGGAACGAAAATGCTACAATTGGAATAAATTCATGTGTGGCTCTTAAAAGAGAGGTTTTGAGAATTTTTTCGATTTTGCATAGTTAAAATGCCATGACTAACATCCAAATCTTCCTTTGAGCAAAATATTTGTAGTCCTTTTAAAACATGATCACGTACAAGGTTATGCTAGAGTAGTCCAAGTCACTAATACATTATGGTGGCAATTAAATTCCTGATCGTGTCTGGTTACTACGATGAGTTATAAACATGACTGGTTCATAGATGCCCCTTCTGGTTGCTTGAAGCTAGTGTTCACCAAAATTTATGACTTGAAAATGACAACGGCGTGGGTCGCGTTGAAAGGCATTTGATCACATGGTACGACCATAGCAGGGCACGCCTCATCCAGGACACAAAAATTAATCCAATTGGCTATGACCGCAGGTCGGTCGCGCGCAATAGACGTATAACTGAGACATCAGTGGGAAGGAAGTTACTTCATGTGTTTACAATTCAAGTGAATTACAGCGAGCATGCTGCACTTACCTCTTGTACTTGCTGCTTTTATGTAGGCCTATTTCAATTTCATAAATTTCCAGCTTCAAATGATTGCTTATACACTTCAAAACATTCGATGGAGGAGATTGATCGCCTTAGCATTTTACAGGAGAGTCCTCGGAAGACTTAACGAAGGATTCGCAGAAGGCTTTGGCGTTTACTTCGTCCTATAAACTCGTGGTTTGAAGTTCATTTCTACGATCCTTCTTTACCAGATGATTACTTTGAACAACAGCTTCATGTGAGAAGACCAACCTTCCAGGCACTCTTACGAGACAAGCCTAGGCATGATTGTATCACGCCAGAAAAAGTGCTGGCGATAGGACTTTAAAAGACAATTACGTGGGAACTCGTACGTATATATTGGCCCAGCGATGATTGTGGGAAAAGCAATGTGGTTGAAGCCGTGCAGGATGTTGTTAATGCCTCATCTGATGCAAGAAGTCAGTACATTAAGTTCCTAAGAACAGCCGCAGAAACTGCTGCCCTTATTCAAACATTTTGGGACAACACCCAATCAGAATTGGTAAATGTTGCGGGTGCAATCGATGGTACTCACACAAGTCGTAGCACCAAAGGAAAATGCTATCAATTACTTCAGTCTTTATTAACATGTTATGATTGTTCAAGGAGTTGTTGACAGTAAAGGCAAATTTATAGATGCAGTTTGTGGTTTCCCTGGCAGTGCTCACGATGCTAGGGTGCTGCGAAATAGCAACCTATATGACAAAGCTGAAAGAGGAGCCATACTTCAAGAACCCTGTGTTAACCCCTAGGGGACTGAGGGGGTGGGGGTTTTTTGACTCAATTGGTGACATGACATTACTAATTAGGCCACCAATTTTTTTTAATATGGCAGAAAACAATAAAACTAACATTTTTAGAAAGAGGAGATTTTGTACTTTCATTTGGTGCAATGAACTAATACATGTGTCTTACAGAAAAAATATGAAAAATCCAGAAAGGTAATAAAACAGATTTTTTCCCCAACCGTCCTCAAATTAGAGAACAGAACTGAAGTGAAAATTTTGTCAACACAATAACTGTACACAAAATCAAATTCTATATACACAGAACACTTTTCCTAGCACAAAATAAAACACTACTGTTCTTCTGTTAACCATATTTAGTTGCAAACTTGATGTCAGTCAGTAGTCTCAAAATCATTTTAGTGTTCACTTGAATCAACCTGAAACCTGGATAAGTAAATTAATGTTTTGATCAAAGGAAACATAAAATCATCTTGATCTCCTTTGAAGTGGTCTGCCTGGACCATTTCTTGGTCTGCCATGACTGTCTTTGAGTCTCTTGGGACCATTTCTACTGGGGTCATCAAAAAGATAAGTCTGCAGTGTGTGGTAGCGCTCAAAGCAAGGTGCTGGACACATACGCACTTGGCAAACTGAGCACTCATAGACTGTTTCCACTCGTTGAATATGTATTTTACAGTTTCTGTGAGTATCAGTTGCCACAGGATGGTGAAACTGCTGGCGGTCAAAGCGGACATCCTGTACTGCTACATTGCCTCCAGAAAAGTTGTTCCGTCGAAAAGAATTTCCTCCTATCAGTTCCCGCACAAGATTCTCTTTGAATTTGACAATGGTGACTCTAGGATGGCCAGCTCTTCTATACATGATGTGGGCATTCAACACAGCAACTTCAAGCATATGAAAGAAAATTTTGTAATACCAAATATTTCCTTTCATAAGCCTGCAGCAAGTTGCTATGCGTTGATCACCCAAATCAACTCCTCCCATATGGGAGTTGTACAGTTTAATCAACTGTGGCTGTGCAATGTTCTGCCTTTGCCATTGTCCTCGTGTTTTCACCCTTCTCTCTATCTGTCCAATTCCCAAACCCTCAGGGAGAGTTGAGAGTAAATGTACCAGCTTTCGGTCCTTCCATGTCACACAGATGAGGTTGCCACTTTGAGGGAAAAGTGATTCTCCCCTGACAAGGCTTTTGACCTGCTCGCATTGCTGGTCAACAATGTCCTGAGGTAGGTACTTTCTATTTCCCCTCACTGTTCCACAGGCTCTAATTCCCTTTTTTTCCAGTTCTAGAAAGAGAGGTACACTGGTATACCAGTTGTCAACAAACTATTTGTAACCTTTGTTGAAATAAGGCTCTGTTAGCTTTAGAACAACTTGCTTAGCCAAATCCTTGCTTGCTGCTGGACCCTCTTTTCCAGTGTAAATAGAAGTACCAAGTACATAGCCAGATGCTGAATCTGCTATAACAAAACCTTTGATCCCAAATCTGCTTCTCTTCAAAGGCAAAAATTGTCTGAAGTGAACACGGCCCTTGAATTTGATCAGTCTCATCAACAGATAAATTCTGAGAAGGCGCATATACAGCTGTAAATCTAGGCACAAGAGCATCTAAAAATGGTCTAATTTTCCACAGTTTATCCCTGTTGGGATCTGTCTGGTCTGGGGCATTGCAATTATTTACAAAGTGGGAGATATCTCAGAATGTGAAGGTAGCGGTCTCTTGACATGGTGCTAGAAAACAGTGGAGTTTTGGTGACCAAATCAGTTGACTAGTAAGCTTTCAAATTGCTTTTTTTGACAAGACCCATTGCCAATGTGAGCCCAAGCCAAGCCTTCAGCTCCGGAAGGGTAAAATCGTGGAGATCACCCAGGGAATTGTCCTCAAGCTGCCGTTTTTGACGCTCAAACCGTTTGGTCTTGTGAATAATCAGCTGATAAACATCGTGAGTAAACAGAAGTTGGAAGTAATCTAAACAATTACTGTCATTGTCCATTTCTACCCTCATACCAACCTCTTCGTGAAAATTTATGCCTTCTAGGGGTTGTATAGTAGATGTCCATCTCATATTGGAGTAGTTTTGCTCCTCGTCATCGCTGCGATCACAGTTTAGTTTACGTTTTTCGTAAAGTTTCCATTGAATTGACAACGAATAAGCATACTACCTTGAGATATAGGAAATTTAAGAATTTTAACTCTGATCACTTTCGTAACGATATAGGTCAACAGGATTGGAGTAGCATCAAAAGCTATTCTGATCCTAATTTAATGTGGGCTGTATGGAAACAGCTATTCCTGGAATGTGTAAACAAGCATGCCCCACTTCATGTAAAACGGGCACGTGCCTCAAAGTCACCTTGGATTACACCTTACTTAAAGAAATGAATGCATGACAGAGATATTCTTAAATTGAAAGCATCGCGTTCTAAGGATGCTAATGACTGGCTACAATTTAAAAAAATGTCGCAACCTAGTTAATAACGAAATAAAAAAAGCAAAAGAGCTCTATTATATAACAGCATTAGATGAAAATGAAGGCAATTCGCGCCAGACCTGGAGGATTGTAAATGAGCTCATGTCGGTGAAAACTAATAACTGTTCCATAAAAGAAATCAAAAGCAATGGCAACTCTATTTACAGCCCTCCTGAGCTGGCTGATGCCTTCAACAATCACTTTTCTTCTATTGGACCCAAGCTTGATAGCCAGATTTATTCTAATAATGGTCCATCACACCTACATTACCTTGAGGGAACTGACAAACGGTTTCAGTTAAAATGTATTAATCCTTCTAAAGTGTTCTCACT